AAAGTCAAAGTTTTAGAATCATTTTAAAAACTTCGACCACATCTTCACCTTGTTCAAGATGGAATAGTTGTCAAGCGCTGGTTTTCCAATTTAAAAAAAAACTGACTGAAGACTTTTTGATTGACATTGCGCATTTAAATCTAGTTATTTTTATTAAATGCTATTCATCTCTTTCACTTATTAGTTTATTTTATAACAGAAATACATTTTAATCAACACAATTTAAATAAAATAAAATGTTGAATAGTTAATATTTGTAAGTAATAAAAAATCTTAAATGATCATAAGGAAAAATTCGAACTAATTTTTCCTTTGCGTGCGAAGAACCTTTTCTCTCAATGAGCTTTATTGCACGATAAATCTGCGGTCTATTATGAATTTGAAATTTTTAAAAGGGAACCTATAACTTGCGTGATGCCGTCGACACGTAATATAAGTTATGGTAACAAAGGCATTCAAAACTAGTTAGTTTGATCGCTAGAAATTATTTTTATAGGATATAGTACTCTATGTTTACGTCATCATAACTCTTACCGAACGATAAATATTTTAAATACAATATCATTGTCACCCTTTTGGTCCTGAATTCAAAGGAATATGTAAGTTACTGATGTCAGTAGTCAATTGATGTCAACTTAATAAGTTTTGCCACATCTATAAACTTAATTGAATTTTAAAACATATATGACATTTAATACATAAAAATCAAATTAAAATCGTTGTTTCTCTAAATTGTTGTTGGGTTAAAAAAACATTTATTGTCTATGTTGTTAAAACAGATAAATTCAAGCGTTACAATGTAGAACTCAAAATGCCATAAACGGTATAAAAGTAGCAAACTGATTGACGTATTTTCTTCATTTTGAGGACGTGTTCGTTTAATGAGGTGGTCTAATTTCAAAAGTTGCCGGAAAACAAGCGCACAAACAGCGGCCGCAGGGTACAAAGGATATTAGGGATTGTAACACAGAGAGCATCCGCCCAATTAAAACTAAACTCTATTACAGTGGCCATTGTGTATAAATTACATTATCAAAATTATTTTGAATTTGAACACAATCATTTCGTCGTAACAAGCGCTGGGCGTGCTGAATAAATTATTTGCACACGAAATTATACTTCATTATTATTTTAGCTTTGTTTCGCTTGATAATATGAGTAATTTTTGACAATTAAACTTTACGTATTTTATTTTGATTCCTATGTACATTTTTAAAAAGAAACTTTTGTAAAAAAAGTAAGTGTTGAACTAAAAACCTAAGTATTTTCTTCTTATAAAATAGATTTTCTTACTAGCTTTTCCTGTACGACTCCGTCTGCGTGGAATTAAAATATCATGGCAAATATCATCGAGATTCGTTCGTTAGCAGTTTAGGCTAAAACATCCATCCATCCATCTGAACTTTCGCATTTATATTAGTAAGATAGTATAACAGTAGTTCTAAATTATACCACAAAAACCTTTCTAGTAATGAAAACCTTATCCAAATCAGTTAGTAGTTGGATTAGGGGTCTTAAAAATCCCCGAGAGATTATTGACCCATACTCCAATTATCCCACAACAATGACAATCGAGAAACGTTATTTTCAACTGACAACGGCAGGGTAGCTTACGTACAATCTCGTTAGTGAAATAAAAAGCTTAGAGCAAAAAAGGATCCTTAAGGGCCATAGGTAGACACGGAAAACGATTCGCAAAGGGTTAATGGTTAA